CTACTGAATACAGTCTGTACAGTTTTTACTGGAACTATTTCCTACGAATAAAGTAGTCCCCTACACTAATGTGTAGCCCCTAACCTCACTGGAAAAGAGCTCCCCCTCCTTACAAATCCATCCACTGCATGCTGTCTTTGATCTCTCCTCCCAATAACAAAGACTTTGGCAGATATTTTTTGCCCTAAATTGAGAGTCTATCAATAGAGTGTTATACAGACAGCAATACCTGTTAAAGATCATTTTTGTTTTGTAATTCTGCACTTTATTGATCAAACTGACCTTAACAGACATTTCCCGATGGAGACAAACACGTGTGCATAAAATATCATGGAACATATCCGATAGTTGTTGAAATAATTCCTCAGACCACAAGTCAACCTCATGTAGAGCTATAAGAAAATCGAGGCCAAATCTGTAGGATTCATCATCTGGGAACCTTCTGTCTTCATGACAGTCCATTCAATATCCATCCATCCATCCATCCATCCATCCATTCATCCATTATCTACACACCGCTTAATCCTCACTAGGGTTGCGGGGGGCTGGAGTCTATCTCAGCTGACTCAGGGTGAAGGCAGAGGACACCCTGGACAGGTCACCAGTCTATCACAGGGCTACACTTAGAGACAGACAACCAAGCACACTCACATTCACATCTACGGACAATTTAGAATCACCAATTACCCTCAGCATGTTTTTGGACTGTGGCAGGAAGCCAGAGAACCCGGGGAGAACCCACGCAGAAAGATCCAGGGTGTCCTCACAGAGATGCGAATCGGCGACCTTCTAACTGAGGCAACAGTGCTAACCACCGAGACACCTTGCAGCCCCCATTCAATATCTTCTCAGATATATAAGTCTTGACCAAAGTGCTGGACCAAGAGTAATAATGTCATCTCTGAAGGGTTTTAACATTTAGATCCACTAAAGTAAAATACTAAAAAAGAGAACTGAAATTAGCTATCAGAAATCCATACCTAAACATCTGAATCGTTCAGCTGATGACACCTGGCCGTATCAACTACTGCATGAAACATGAGTGTAAAATGGCATTCATTCCAACAACATGAGGCAAAAGGCATTAAAACAATCCTCCTTTAAAGGGAACAAGACACACGTGGTCTCATTAGAAACCAACCACATCTACAGAAACTCACTGAGTACAGTCTAAAATGACAGTGGATCCTGGATACTTGACTTCATGTGACACAGACCATCAGAAAGCCTCATCAGCATCAACATAATCTCACCAGTCATGAAAATAAGCCTGGGAAATGAAAAATTAACAATATTATTTCCAAGCAAGTTTAGCCATCTTTGAAAATCATAATGCTATAGTATTATATAGTATTAGAGCAGTTATCACAGTTCTATACGCAGCTATGAGTCACGATCACCAGATTCACCGCTCACTAAATAAGCCAGGTATTACATGGAGGGTGATTTTCCTGTTAATTCCTGAACTGCCATGAGACCACAGGTGTTGTGTGACTTGTAGATTCAGTCTCCACGCCCTCACCTTCGGGACTCTCTAGAAATTCTGAGAACAGGAATCGACAGCCCCTGCTGAAGGGTGTGACAGGCTTATATGGTCTACCAGAAGAGATTAGAGTGTGCTAGATAGCTTACAATGCTTTGGTTACAATATTTCAGTGAAATGGATACTGTTGTCACAGCTCCTAAAACCTTTTGAATATTTTGATGTTCTGAAGAACTGTATCTCTCTTCGCTGTAGCACTCACACAGTCTGCAAACACAAACACTGCACCTTTTCCAATCCCTCAGTTTTATCAGCAAGTTTGAACTGGCTGTTCTCCTTGCTCCCACACTGCAAGTTAGTTTGCGAAGTTCATAAGTGCTATCTCGGTCAGATTCCTGAGAGTTACAGGCCTGGAAATTCAAAAGTGCTGTGACATAATTCTCCTCTGTCATTTTAGCAGAATCAACATGTCTGAGTCTACAGTGACCTCATTCACTGACAAGATCTATACTGGTCTATCTGTTTCCATACCATAGGTGCAGGCTGTCGGGTAAATCCCTGAATGGTCCAGGTGTGGATTTTTTGCTCAACCCTGTACAAACAGACTCAGTAGGTCATCAGGGCCAGTGAGGAGCAGATGTGGAGAAGTGGGTGAAAACAACTGACTCATTTCAGAATCATTATTTTTATCTTCTATGATTCTGTATCAGTGGACAAAGGTTTCCCTGTTACTGCTGAATGCTCCTTAAATGCTTGCTCATAACTCATTTGAAGAGCTGTTTCTCTGAGATTGGCAGCACTGCTTTAAGAACACAGACTAACTTATCAGAGTGCACAGGGAGGAGGGGATGTTCATGGACTGTTGTCAATGTGTTTTGGAAAAAGAGAGACAGGGAGGGAGGCAGCAGAGTGCAGCTCTACTATGAAAAAAAGAAAACTGAAAGTCAATATGTGGCAGTGAACGTTGTAACAAAGTCAGTGTATAGGAAACACTGGTATCCACACCTGGGACAAGCAGCAGGTGATGTCGTGTCGCTGTCGTTCTTTGTCTAATGAATTCTCTACTCTGTCACCCAGACAAGCCTCCCATACGGTTAAACTGAATCAGTACTTGGTAGTGCTCAAGTCATTTGGTCTGTACCCTTAACAGAACCTTGTTCAGTACCCAGTCCTACTTATCAGGATACATTCACTGCTGGCTTTGGTGTCTGCAGAGAAACTGCTGATAATCTGTGGAGATACTCAGCTATCGAGAACCTAATAATCCTCAGGGCTCTCTCATCCCAGAGGCCCATCATTAAATAGTTGCAGATTAATTTTCTGTTTATTGACCAACTATAAATCGCCTGTTGTTTCTGCGCTTGTCTCAGTGATGGATTTAGAAGTTTATGGCACACATGCTGCTGAACTGTAGAAATGCACATCCAGAAAGGAAATGGTACAGAAAGATATGTAACAATTTGCCAACACCATTAACAGCTAGTATACGCCAAACTGCATATCAAATGGTCATGTAGCTGTGGAAACCCTCCTGCTACACTTTTCTGATGTCAGATGAGGGGTCTGTGTCAACCACCAGTGACCACCGGCTGTGCAGAGGTGAGACTGTGATCTACGTACAGCGTCCTCTTTCTCTAGCTCTCATATCCCTTTTGTTACACATCTGTTTATGGCACCTTTCATACTTGCAATCAAATGCAACGGGAGTAAGTGACTTCTTGCAGAGACTTCCTGAAAATATGTGCTGTTAAACCTATTTGTTTAAACATCAATAAAGTCCATTATTGGAAAACCAGTCATGCAAAGTGTCTCATTTCTATAACAGCTCTTCGTCATGACATCTATTCAGAATGTTACGGTCGTTTTTTTGTGTTTGTTACCTTGTTTAGCCTTAATAGGTTTATCCATCATTGCAAATGTACAAATAAAAAGTTTTTTTAAAATCAATAAACAGCCATCATATTGCTGCTGACAGTTCCAAGTGTAGTAAAACGTATTTGCCCGCAGATGTTTGTGAAGCAAAAAACGGTTTATCGCCGCAGGTTCAAAACAGCTGTCTGTGACAAATTAGTTCATCTGTGAAAAGAGGTCATTCACTTGATGCACTAAGACGCTCAAAACGACAAAACATCTGCCAGTCAAGCTGACTGTGTAACACATAAATCATTGTTATATGATTAATCTTTATTATACATGACTCAGAGTTATGTTTTTGATCTTGTCAATAAAGAAGTGAGGTGCCATGTATCTCTCTCACCGGTGTTCTCTATCACATGTGTTGTCATTTCTGGGCCACCTCTGTCACCTGTATTAGTCATATTTACTCAGATGTAGCTCACATCAACTTGAGCCTCATATAACTGGACTAAGCGGGGAGATGTGTCATACCCTGCACGGCAGGTTTTTCATTTCAGCATTAAATGTTTTGCAATTATTGCTTCACAACAGCCAGTGTCAACACGGGTTAACCTGACAACAACGGCTGAGTCAATAGATGTGAACCCATCAACACATCGGTTTGCTTGTTGAGCAGTATGGAGACATGCTTAAAGGAAAATGAAAAGAGAACACGGAAATCTCTTGGATAAATAAAGAACGGGAAATTTGACTGTCATTATTGTAACCACCGGAGGTTAACCAGTTCTTTTTTAATCTTTAATTTAGCCAGGGAACAGTGACTCAGTGTGGATATTTACAGTCACACAGTCCCCCACATTCCCATTTAGGAGCTGCTCAATACAAATAAAGTTCTGCATGCCACTGAGAAAGACTGAAGAGGTCTGGTGCCTTGCCCAAAGGCACCTAAACAGATTGAGGCCAGTCTGTGTGTCCCATTAGCTTTCCTTATCTTCCCACACAGTGAAGACTGGAAGTGTAAAATGAACCACTGATATGCAAACAAAAAGCAGACCTCCATCTCTCTCACTGTGGCTGTTTACTTCTCTCTGCATTTTTTCAAATTAATACCTGCTAATGCATGACTGAACTAGCTCTGCTCTGAGCCGCAGTGCTGAGATGTTACAAAGAGCCGGAGGGGAGGGAACAGCTACTGTTCGAGACATCGGCAGCTCCCTCTGTGCTGCCACGGCATGAGTTATGGTCCACTGAGGGGTAAAACAACTACCCCAAGAGTCTCCAGAGGTCATCAGCTTCACTTTCACTCTCCTTAACCCTCCTGTTATCTTTGGGATCAGTTTGACCCCATTCAGTGTTTAACGTCTCTAAATAAGTGACTGACATAAGTTTTCCTGTTTTATTTGAAGGACTATTTACACATAAACTTGGGCAACAAATTTAATTATGATAATTTTCTGGAGGTTTAAATTGGGGTCAAATTGAACCAAAGGATAAAAGATGTCAGTACATTTGAACAGGAGGGTTTAATGATGTGTGTGATATTAACTACAGTTATGCCTGGTTTATTTCAAACTATGATACTGCAGTAATAAGATGAGCTCCATGAGGGCAGAAGTTATTAAAGATGCACACATAAATAATAATAAACTTGTCATCTTACATGTTACTGCTGAAGCTGTCCAGTTCATCAGGGAAAAACACCTCTCCTCCTCCTCCTCCTTCTTCTTTCTTGGATTTCTTTCGTTTCAGCTTAAACAAATGCAGCCGCTTTGACTTCTTTTCTTTCGGGGAGACGGGTAGAGCCTCGGCGGGCAGAGTGGCGTTGTCCCCCGGGCTGAGCGGCAGGGAGCTGCCCGGTGGGCTCCCCGCTCCGCCTCTGGACGCATCTTTGAGGGTCCCCGACTGTTTCTGCTCCTTGTTCTCCTTATCAAGGGATTTGATTTTGAACAAGTTCTTGACTTTCAGCGTGCTGGACTTACTCATGGTTGTCGGAGAGAGGAATGGTGCGCGCTGAAAGGTGCGAGCAGGAGCAGAGCTGCGCGCCTGGAAGCTGCAGGAGGAGGATTCACCGGGACAACCTGCAGAGCTGGTTCGAGAGGACCTGGACCTGCCCACAGCAGCAGCTCCATCTGTTAACCACTCCACGAGCAATGCAGACACTCCTGACTGTCAGCTTTAAAAATAAGATCCTATCACTACTTTCACTCTTCATGGGTTATGACCCCAAACACCAACCAGAGTTCACAATCTCACTAATAATGACTGGGACTCTGAAAAACAAGGGTTTACAAAAGTGCAGACAAGGAAAAAGGAGGATATCCACAAGGCAACACAACAACAAAAAAGATACCAACAGACACAAAAATGCAAGATGCAATGTGTGAATTTTAATAGACAAATAAAACAGTAAAAGTAATAAAAACCTAATAAGTAATAAAGCGTATATGAATGACTTTAAAGACGTTATTTAAAATTAAAGCTGCAAGCAGCGTTGGTCGGGTCCTCAGTCTGCGTGTTGGGAGTTTTACTCACTTTCTCTCTCCCATACAGCCACAATTTTCTCCAAATGTGTGTAAAAACAGCATATTTTTGTGGGAAATCTTGTTAGGAAGCCCTCAGTGTCATTTTTAAAGCTGTAGGACCTTTAGTTTTTTGTGTAGATGACCAAATGTCGCAGCATGTCTGCACATGCCCCCATAGACAGCCATACAAAGTATGAACCGAGGCTGCAGCAGCTCATCAACTTTAACGGCTCGCCATTCGAAAACCAGTTGAGAAACACCAAATCCCTTCAGAGCTTTTGTACATCAAGGCCTTCTCTGTCTCCTGTGCGATTTTCAAGTTGGTACTTTGAAAGGCAAATTGCGGACTTCCTGTTTGAGATAGGTCAGGGGCGCGAGATTTGTGGGTCTCATTGAGACAAACATTTTGATGTTGGTTTGAGTCCTACTGGGCGCTAGGGCTGTGTTAGTGTGTTTTTCTGTAACTAGGTGGCGCTAGAGAGCAAATTTTTCACCGATTCAGAGGTGCGTGCCAATTTTGGTGAGTTTTTGAGCATGTTTAGGGGGTCAAATTAAGGGTTTCGCGTTCGTCAGGAAAATAAGAACAAAGAAAGAAACGAAGCGGGAACAATAGGGTCCTTGCTTGCTGCAGCAAGTAGGGGTCCTCAGACCCTAATAAAGCGTATATGAATGGCTTTAAAGACGTTATTTAAAACAAGTCAGTGATCTCCTCAGGCAGGTCGATCCAAAGCTGAGGGGGCCTGATGGCAAAAGCACCTTTAGATCTGAGTCTTGCTTTGGAACAGAGAAAAGGCCTCACAGGAGGATCTAAGTCTCTAAACTGTCTCATGTCGTGTTTCTGCCATGTGGCTGAGAGACAGACCCAGACAAGCTGTAAAAGTGAGAATTGAAAATGAAACCTTCAAATGAACAGGGAGCCAAGAAAGGGGTGAAGTGAAGTCAAAAGTCTGTAAGAGGCGAGCTGCTGGGTTCTGAGGTCACCGTAGGTGAGAGACTGACAGGAAGAAGAAAGTCGTCAAAGTGACTCATTTATCAGTTGTTTTATATATTTATTTATCAATCACGTAGTTAATGTAATGTGTAATGGCAGAAATCCGTTCTCTCTCCTCAAACCTTCTCATGCTCCAGAAAGCAATGGTAGTAAGTAGTCAGTTGTTTGGAAGTTAAAGTAACACAATTGCAATACTTTTAAGTGCCTTATGTGTGTTTTTAGAGATGATTTTGTAACTTTGTGCTGTTACCTCTGACACATGGTAGCTTGGTTATGTTGTTCAGCCATCTAGTGGCATAAATTGGACCATCAGTCGGCATTTATCTTGTCAATAATTTACCTCACTAGTTCATTGCAGTACAATGTGTATATTAAAGCTGATGTTGGAGCTTAGTTTTTGATCTGTGCAAATTAAGTAACTTATATAATGATTGTGAACATACTTCTTGTTTTTTTCTTCTTGTTGTTTCAGTTTCACTCGTAATTTCATGAGTCAGCTTTAATAAAGAGAGCAAGGCGCTCTGATCCTGGCTCGTAAAATCGAGTTTGGCTTGCTGTTAATCTACGTTAGCATACTGGGCGTGTATACAACATGTAGTGATTGGTGAGTGGTAATTGTTGCTAGTTATCTGACTAATAGATCAATTGTAACGTTCTGGTTGTAGATACTTATTTACTCAGAACGTTGCAGCAAAGTCTGTGACTCCTGAAATGTGAACCACGTAGAATCCTAACTATCTTTAAAACATGCAGTTAAACTTGTTTTTTTACAAGCTTCTGTGGAGGTATTGGAGCGTGAGGTTTAAATCTTTTGGTGTAAAGCAGGAAGAATCAGACATGGCTGGACAGATCTGGGCCACAAAAGTGATGGGTCACCACTGTCACTGGCAGTCACCAGCCCAGTCTGTTCTGTACATCACACACTGTTCACAGGTCCACAAGTATTGATTAATTTATTGAGTGTAAAAACTGACAGACCGTTTTTAATTTTTTTAATTTTTTTTTTAGACATCTTTGCAACAGAACATTTAAGTTCAATCACACATTTCATTACAGTATTCGGTTGTTATTAACACAACCAGTTCATGTGTATGACATTCAAAGGGGTGACTTCTGTTATTAACACAATAATAACATTTGGTGTCACCTCACTGCAAACCTCCAATTCTCCTTTAATGTTTACATGTGCAAACATAATGCCTCCATATGTGTGCATGTATGAATACACAGCTTGCAGAAATGTCAGGTATATACACAGTTTGGATTCTTATTCAACTTTCCTACATCAGCTTCAAGCTTCTGTACAATGTCCTGATGTTCATGTAACTGCAGGTCAACTTTACAGTTAGTTACTGGGATGATGATTTTGGTTTCACACGTGAGGTCCAAAAGATATTTGCTTCCTTCAGTAAAAGTTCAGCTGAGATGGTTTTACCCTCAACCACATTCATGCAGAAGATTATTTGAGAATAACCCGCTCCATCATTCTGTCTATAGAAACTATAAATAATTGTTCGTAGTAATACTGTTTTTCCGAGCCACACTTGATCTAGAACCAGCAAAAAAACAGCTCTATCTGCTGGTCATGATGAGGAAAAGCAAGGATACTCTGCACCGTTAAATAGGTTATAATGTACTTTCTATTTACCTCTCAAATTAAAGAGATTTAAAACTGAAAAAAGAAAAAGTAAGTCCTAGCAAAACCAAAATGGGGTTTGAGGTTAGAAGAGATGTAGGGTCGGAGGTTTCAAAGACAAAGAGTGAGAGTCAGATTGAGGTAGAGAAGTAAACTTTGTGGTTTCAAAAATCTAATTTCAAATTTAAAAGATGATATGAAAATGGTTTTCTGTGTCGTAAAGTCTGATTTCTTTTCCTCAAATCATCTATAATTGTGACAAGAATTGCATTTAGATGTGACCTGTGAGGGGGCAGCCCTCTGTTGAGAATGTTAGTCCCTGGGGGTAAATGAAGCAGGCTTGTGGTAAGTCAAAGAAGACTTTGGCAGGCAAAGGAAACTCCCTAAATGAGCATACAGGGACGTTCCCCCTGTATGCTGTGATACAGCTGATGCGAAGTGTTGGTAGAACCATCAGATAAGGAGGATCTGTTCATGGGCAGAAGCTACAAACGAGTTTGAGATCAAAAGCAGGAAGATCAGTGCACTTTACTCACAGTGTGAGAATGAGAATGTGGTTTTGGTTCTAGCTCCTTCCTTTGATTTTTTTTAAGCACACAGTGTTTGTGACATAAAGCCCTCACACAGCTGAACTCTTTCTTCACAAGCTGCCCTCACACCGGGGAAGGTTTTGCTACCTGGGAGGAATCATTCATTCTGCAAGACTGTGAGGATAAAACCTGAGTGAGATAATCATTCTGCAAGGTATGTGTGTTCTGAGCACAAGATATGAGGTCTGCCTTCAGTTTGATTGATTTTTGTGGTGAATATTGATTGAGTGGACCTTGTGTAACGTCTGGGGTCATTGGTAACATTAGTTTTTGAGTTAAAAATTCTAAAGAGTCGGAGTCGTGTCAATTTTTAAGCCATTTTCTTTGTTTCATTCTGTTCAACAATGTCTGAAGTGCCAATACTTGAGAAATAATGTAGCTAGAATCCTGAAATATTGCAGACTCGTTAATGTGCATATGATCTTTGAGAGCACAACCCTGTTTTAATAGAACTTTACAAACCAGTTATATGATGGTGCAAATTTGATCAAAAAAACTTTTCTTTCTATTTGATGTTCCACCAACCATAAAACCTTTACTTTCATCCTATGGGGCTGATTTTTTTCCCCTGAGATTGGCACCAATAGGAGCTTTAAAATGTGGAGTATGGTGCCAGTCAGGGGCAGACTTTATGAGAAAAAATATTAAAATTATGATAGATAAAACCCCTCAGAAGCTGTCTCAGCTACAAGAGTTATATAATATTGTAACGGAAGTTGTTAAGAAAAATCATGGTTTTCCAAATCATAGTGCTTCAAATAATTTTATGAAGGTGCTACTCTAAGCAATCATGTATATGTAATTTATATGTTAGACATACATATTTGTACTTAAAAAAAATAATAAAAAATCAAGATCTGTTTTCGTTCAGGGGCTGCATGGTGGCTTCGTGGTTAGCACTGTTGCCTCACAGGTAGAAGATCCCCGGTTCACGTCCCGGTTAGGATGCCTGGGATCTTTCTGCATGGAGTTTACATGTTGTGTGCAGCATGGGTTCTGTCTGGATTCTCTGGCTTCCTCCCACAAGTCCAAAAACATGTTGAGGTTAATTGGTGATTCTAAATTGTCCGTAGATGTGAATGTGAGTGTGCTTGGTTGTCTGTCTCTAAGTGTGGCCCTGTGATAGACTGGTGACCTGTCCAGGGTGTCCCCTGTCTTCACCCTGAGTCAGCTGGGATAGACTCCAGCCCCCCTGCGACCCTAGTGAGGATTAAGCGGTGTATAGATAATGGATGGATGGGTGTTTTCGTTCAATATAACCTTGGTAGGAAAGACTTAAATAGAAACATTGTGTTGGGAAAGTTGGCAGCAATAACACTGGTGTACTGATGTCAGCATTAAACCTCTGTTTTAAAGCAGTTGATGCCCAATTGTTAGTGGAAAATGGGTTTCCCAGTTTACTGCCTCTTTCTGCAATGTTGATGGCCATGTTGCTAACCAATGCTGATCCAGTACACCAGGTATTATTACTAGCTATCATCAAAGCAGGCTTGTACCATTAAAGGACATATTTACATATCAATGAGCCTACAACATTTCAGGACTCTAGCTACATTATTTATCAAATTAAGGCAATTCCAACATGACTCCACAGATTGGTATGATGAAAACAAAGCAAAACTGACAGGACTTCACCCCTTCTTAAGAATTTTTAACTCAAAAACTAACCCCAAATTTTACAGTAAAATAGGTATGGACAAAGAAAAAATCAGACAAATACAAAATGGTCGGACCTGAACTTTTTTTTTTTTTGAAAATTTGTTGAAGTGGAATGACCTGAATGCATTACTCATTGTGTAGCTTTAAGCGTATCACACGGAGATACTTTTAATTTTTTCATAAGCTCTAAAGTTAGAATGAGTTGCTCAGTATTAAGGTTGAATTGATCCGTTTTAAAACTTGAGAGATCCCCTTTAAAATGTAGAGTGTCAAGTTGAACAGATGACGTTACATTAAATAACACAGACTGAACACTTTTACAGAACAGGAAGTTCTGTAAAATATGAAAACATATTTATAGAGCACCTGAAGTTCTCAGATTGTGTTTCTATAGAAAAGGCCTGTCCCTTTCCTGTTTTGCTATCTCCCCCAACACACATGCAAAACCTAATACCTTCCTCATTGACAAGTGCTATTGTCTCATACTCCATGTCACGGTAGGGATTGGTTGAGAAGTGAAAGTGCTGAAATAAGAGATATATCATGTTTATTTCCTCTGGCAGGTTTTTAAAGAAGTTGAAGCTTGTGCAACTATTTGCATAAACAACAAGATGTGTCTTTATTACTGTGCTGTACGCATCAATGGTTTAGCTCGATATCAGTCTTTATTACATAGAGTCAATAGTTCAAACCAAAAAAATCACATGGAAAGGGTAATGTGCATGTGTCTTGGAATAAGAAAGTCCATTTATACTTTCTCACTAGTTTTCATTCAGTGAGGTTGTTGGTGTTGACTGGCCTCATCGGTAACCTTCTCACACATGCTCTGTTTCGTACTGATATAGCTGAGATCCTCACTGATAGAGATCTTATCATATTTTCAGATCAGACAAAGCACAAAGCGCAGCCACCTGCAGTTTACCTCAGCAGGCATTTTGTCAAAGTCTAAACGGGCTAAAAATTGGGTCATTCATAAACCGAGGAAGAGCTGAACTAGAACACTGCCTTTTATCCTGTAAACAGGCGGAAAGCTGTGATCAGAGTCTTCGTCTATGCAGGGAACAGCGTTTGCACGCAAACTTGTTCCCTACATTTTTAATTCTTTGTTTTGATAATTAGAGGCTTTCCAAACTTTATTTGAAGAAAAAAGTGTGTTCAATTGGATATTGTTTCATCACAGGTTGTGTTTAAGAATATTAACTAACAATAACGCAAACAGCAATTAAAGTAATAATATTAATGCAGGACATTTTTCTTGTAACAAAACATTTTGAGAAAAAGATCATCCTTAATTCTTACTTTTACTTTTCTTAAGAGCTGAAGACTTCTTTTGATAAAGACTTTGAAAATGTATTTTCAATACATGTTGAAACCTTTACAAAGAAATGTTCAAAACCATCAGAAGAAGCATCAGATCTGTCAGGGAAGAAAAAGTAAGAATTAAGCAGAATTACCAAAGTCTGAAAATGTTCAATTTCAAGTAAAGTTCCAGCATTTAAAATGGTTCTATCCAAGTATTTGTTTGTCAGAGCACTGTATTATTATTATTATTTTTTTTTAACATGATCTATTGTTATAATTTGAAAATGTCTTCACAATCATCGTATAAGATTCTTTTGTGTTTGTGTAGCTATTTTTTTTTTTTATCTTAATGTGTAAATTAATTACAGCTTTCAGACAAATGTAGGGGAGTCAAAACAAAGGACATTAGTACCCCCTGAAATGTAGTTCAAAATATAAGATCAACAGACTTTCTGCCTTTGCTTTTTATGCTATAATAACTGCACCATTTTTTATGATTTGTTACAGATCATTTTTGGAAACATCTGCTGTTCAGTTCATGGCCGTCTTTTCTTCTCCAGGTTTAAAAATGCAGTCGGTGACTCCGGACTATGACTTGAGTACACATGACTACCCAAACAGCACAGATGACGAGCTGTGCGACATGAACCCCCACCCTGTGGAGGTCATCACCACAACATACATCCACTCCTTCATCTGTGCCTTCGGCCTGATGGGCAACGGTCTTGTTATGGTCACCTACATATTCTACAAGAGAACCAAGACGATGACAGACGTCTACCTCTTCAACGTGGCTGTGGCAGACTTGATTTTTGTGGTGGCTCTGCCATTTATCATATACAATGAGCAGTACAACTGGTTAATGGGGCGTGTGGCCTGCAAGATTCTGCGGTCAGCCTACAGCATCAACCTCTACAGTGGCATGCTGCTGCTTGCCTGCATTAGCAGCGATCGTTATGTTGCTATAGTCCAGGCCAGACGCTCCTTTGGGGCTCGCTCACGCACTCTGATCTACAGCCGTCTCATCTGCTCTGCTGTTTGGGTGTTTGCAGTGGCTTTGACTCTGCCCACACTCATTTACACAGAACGCTTTGAAGAGCCTGATCTGGAGGCTAACACTGTCACTGTGATGTGTCAGCTGTCTTTCAGTGAGGGTGACACAGCAAAGGTAATGAAGGTGCTGGTACCCAGCCTTCAAATGGCCATTGGCTTTCTGTTGCCTTTGATCATGATGATGCTGTGCTACTCCAGCATCATGTGCACCTTGCTGAGAGCACAGAGCAGCCAGAGGCACAAGGCCATCCGTGTGGTTTTGGCAGTTGTTGTTGTTTTCATTGTGTGTCATCTTCCCTACAACGTGGCTCTGCTGAGCCACACCCTGGATCTTTTTAAGCAGAGGAGCTGTGAAGCAGAAAAGATTAAACTCAGAGCTCTGGCAATTTCCAGAAGTGTAGCCTACCTCCACTGCTGCCTCAATCCCCTCCTCTATGCCTTCGTCGGCGTGAAGTTCAGGAGCCACTTTCGACAAATAATGGTGGACCTATGGTGCTTTAGCAAGAAGTACATCTACTCTGCTCGCTCGTCACGTGGGACGTCTGATATTTGTGTTTCAGGATTAAGGACTTCAGATGGCACCAACAACATGTCATCATTTAGTGCATGACATGCAACAATGCAGGATCTCATCCATCTCATGTTGTAGCTATACAACAGAAGAGCTGAAATCATGTCTGTAAAATTTCTAAATGTTTTTAAATGAAAGCAAAGCGTAGTCTATCTGAAATCCACTGTATCCTGAGCAAATGTCAGTTATCTGTAATACAGTAAAAAAATGAAGCACTCCTTTATACTAGACAATAACTTTCTAACTGAATGTAACCAGCATAAAGTTGGCATATACATACACACACATATACACATGTATGTTTGTGTGCGTGCGTGCGTGTGTGTGTGTGTAAGAAAAAGGAAAAAGTGAGACATTTGCTTATTTCATTGTGGTACTGGTTTCACCATAACGGCAGCCTTTTGTTTTCTTGTGTCTTGTTGCCCTGTATATGATGCTGAATGAGTCTGTTCAAGACTTGCTGGGCTGCTGCTTTGTGTTCATTTAAAAAGCTTTACTATTTTGTATTTTGTGCATCTCGCTGTACAGTTTTGTCGCACTGTCTGAATAAACTTTTGGTATGAAAAAGTGTATTTTATTGAATGCAAAGTTTTTCTAAATTGGTAACTGTCTGGCATCAGTTTTTATTAAATTTTGCAAAATTTATAAACCTATTCATCATCTGATATTTTAAAGTAAATGTGATATTTGATTCGATAGATTGTAAAAAGTTTCATTTGTACATTTTACCAGTAAACACTAGGTAATCACCAGTATTCACATGTCAAGTTAAAGCACCACCTAAAAACTAAACAACACCCTCGCTGCAATTTCAGACAGTTGAGATAACAAAGAAGAACTGAAACACGGTTTTCCCACACAATGTGTTCCACTGCTTCTAGGTTAAGTGTGCTGCCAGAATAATGATGCAGATAGAATCAACAAATGTATGTGTGTTAGCATTATGATTCATGGTTCACATGCACACACACACACACACACACACACACAATTTTCCAATTTGAAATTATATAAAAGATATACATCTAAGGATAATATCTAAGGTTTCAACAACTGTAAAATATTGAAATGAATAGTACAGCTGTTAGCAACTGTGCCATCAATGCAGGGCAGCACTTTGACAGACATGACGAGGTAACGTGACGCTATAGATGCTCAAAAATGTCTTGACAAAGCAAAGTGAGCCACAGCTTAAGAGGGTGGGAGTTGAAAAGAATGTGATAGTCATACAGAGAGACGAGACAGTTGTTACGCAGCGTGGTTAGATGAGCAAAAGTAAGTAGGTTCTTATTATACATTTTTATTACTACACATGTAAGTAAATGTAGTCTTGGACTTAAAGAGTTTCTGTGATGAGTGTGGCAAAGTTTTTTACATTTACTTTGGCCACTTGCTCCAGTTAAGGTCAAAGGTCAAAAAGAATATATAGTTAATATGGCAAAACAATATGAACATTATTATTAATTTTACTATTCTTTTGTTAAAGTTACTTCAAATTTATTATTGTGTTTTAGAGCTACTTTTTATCTGGTAATTATTAGTGGGGCGGCACGCCTACGCCCCGTATTAACCAGCCACCACCGCATCAGATCAATAGTTAAAAGTTTTACAATACTGTTTTTCATGACCAAATATCTGCAAACCTAAGCCATTTCCATCATAAAAAATGCTAGAATGCAAACTTACTGTACTAAGATAGTAACACTTGTGAAAACTGTACCTACTAAACATCAGCACTGTAGTTTGTTGGCATGCTGGTGCTATCATTTAGCTCTGAGCGCTGCTGTTCTGAAGTACAGCCTTACAGATGTTGGTCACACATAGTGGCTTAGCTAAAGTAGCCCTAAAACAAATACATAAATACACATTGTGCAAACAGAAGTTCCATCAAAAACACGTGATTGTTTTGTAGGGGTTCTGATGTGTGTATCATTCCATCACATTAGTGCTGAAGTATACCTCACAAACCAGAATGTACCTTCTTTGCCTAACACGAGCAGTGGTATGCTGTCAGTTATGACCCTTGACTTGAAGTTTGAACATGTTGATCCACCCAAATGCTAGAAATGCTGCAGCTTAGACAGAACAAGAAAAATGCAATATGCAAAAATGTATGTGGTAAACCACAACGGTAGATACAGGAGCAGGTGCATTATGCAAATACAGCTGTTTTTTTTATCTTAAGCTGAAATCTCTGATGCAACTAAACCAGTAGTGTGGAACAAGACATACCTGTGACAACAAGTAAATCGCATGCAATCAAATCCTGCAGAAAAAACAGAAAAAGAGAACACACTGCACCCTTTTACACAACAGGAAGCAGTTGAACGGCAGCACTCCCCCTTTTCATCCACTGGATGTCCTCAGTGAGCTGTGTTTGGTTTCAGTGGATGAAATATCCTGTCACCTCTTGATGTTCCAAATGCTTCAGTATATTTATGAAGACGCCCTCACCAGCTGCTAGTTATGGCTGCTTTGTTCAGCTTGATAATCCTGCCCACTCTGTCCTGCCTTTTTGTTCTGCTGTGTTTGCCTTGCAGCTTGCTCGAATCCCTCAGCTAGGAAGTCTGGCTTTATTTGACTCCTTCCCTCTGTATTCCTACACCACACATTCATTTAGCTCTACATATTGAACACTCACACCTTTTACATGCCTCTGGATTTTTTTGTACTTTGGTATTTCCTCACGCATTTGACCTCCTGTTGCATTGCTGAACTTGAGTCAGCTGGTTACGCACGAGTTACGTATGGAATTCCAGAACTGACATTATGTAATTTAAATCCAGCAATCAAATTGATATTTCCCTTGAGACACATTTTAGGCATATTTGAATTCCAGATGTGGACTGTAGCTCTTCTCAGTCTGGACACATCTGGGTTCAAGATAACAGGTCTGAACAGAGTGTGAGAGCTATGAACGGGGAATTTTCCATCAAAGTTTAAAAGCTTTAATTTCCACAATTATCTGGTAAAATTAATGATTGTTACCACTATGCTGACTTAGGAAACAAGACCAAACAGGTTGTTATTGCAAACACCTGCACTGTCTCCCTCTTTCCTGCTGTTCGTCTGACTTTCTCTGTGTGCGTCACGTGTTCCTTTATCCAGGTCTGATGGTAAAACACCTGCCCACTAGGTGTCATCAGAGAGTTCGCCGCCCGACACACCACCTGACCACTACAGTGAGAAAGTAGGAACGGCTACTGGCGAATCAAAACCAAGCTCCCTAAACATTTGGTCAAATACTTTCTCAGGAATTTATCATAGAAGGGAGAAGGAAGTGCTTGGATGTAAATAACAATGTCAGTATCAGTATATCACTGTTTCATGTATACCAGAGCCCAGACACACATGACTGGAATACAGCTATTAGTAGTTAGACTTTTGTTTTACAAGCAAAACGTTGCTGTGAGAAAGGCAAATTACAAACCGAGCAGCACCATAAAATACATATTTTCCTTATTTAAAGCGACAGACAGTCTTATTTTTCCAGATGGTTTAATTCAGCTATTTATATTTTTAGATGGGTTATTTGAGATTTCTGGGTTTTTGGCTTTAGCAAAAAGAATTTCTCAGTTCCTCACAGGAATAGTTTGCTTTGCGTCTCTCCACTACCTGAGCATCAGACACAGAAACATATCAAACACTCACTTCCTTATTCCTCACCTGCTCAATCGCTGTAGTTCCTGAGTTTCCTCCTGACCCAGTCAACTGCTCCTCCAGCTGTTCCTCATCAGCCGCTGGGCTCTCGTTGCCAAGACTGTAGCTGTCCAGGCATTCCTGTCTGCCTGTTAACCATTCTACCTGTTCACCTGTCGATGATCCAATCTGCCTGCCTGTTTTTCACTTCAGCTTGTAAGACCAACTTAACAGCATTTTAACCATACCTTTGTGAATGGACATCTGCCTTTGGGTCGGGTCACCAGTTAGTCCAGATGTTACAGTGTTTAAAACTGTACTTTTATTACACTGCACAGTCCAGATGACATTTTTTTGGGGTGTGTGTTTAAAACTGAAGAAAAAATTACAGTAAAAAAAAGAAAAACTTTTTGACTTGGTATAACAAGAAATATGTCATTTACAGCCAACATACATCAGCCTCTACAAGCATGAAATTGCTAACAGCTAAGATATATTGTGAGTAATGTGGGTACTGAGTTTTGACAAAAGGGAGGAGTGTGTTTAAAAATTGAAAGACAATATATTTAGTTCTGCTGCATCAATTCTGATCCACAGAGTACAATGCTAAATCAGTGCAGTGCTCTTTTACGACCATGGTTAAATTTTTTTGCAAATGTGTATCCAAAAGAACATCTTTACAAATTTGTTAAATTTGTACTTTGGGTTCGCAAAATGCAAGTTAAGACTACATTAATAAATGTTAGTCACTCTTGGGCAGCAGAATAAGGTGTAAACATGGACTGTATAGAGAAATTGGATGTAGCGACTGTGATGCTACCCATTAGTTTGTGGACAGCCATTTTGAAACACTGAGTTTGTTGTGTTAAAAAATTCTAAAAATTAGTCATTCGGGAAATGTTGATTAAGTGGGGGGAAAAAAGTCAGGTTAGAAGTAGAGTCTTTTTCTCACAGACTTCTTGAAAAAAGGACGTCTTTGTGCAACCAGAGGAGTCGCCCCCTGCTGGCTGTTTAGACCCTGAGGCTACATCCATCTACATCCAGTCTCGGGGTGTAAACACAACCAACATACTCTATTATCACCTCTTATGTTTGTTTGTTTATTGTTATTATTACATTCATTTGAAGTTGTCTTTATGACCATGTCGGACATGTAAGTCCTACATTTGCTCTCCATTTAGCCAAGTTTAGTTCTTTTCCAACCCTTGAGGAAAACGGCTCTTTAAGCTGCTCATGCTTTACTAGCTAGCTTAGTTTATCTGCTGTTTAGTTGTGGGCAGGCAGTGTTTAGAGGGTTATCAGCTGCTTGCTACCAGTAAAAGCTCTGCTGATGAGAGCAGTGAGACTGAACCACAACGCTCTGAGAAGACTGAGCAATAAAATCTGACAATGAGCTAAAAGTCATGAAGCTGTTACCAAAAGTGACACCTTTCAGATTACATGTGATGCATTACTTACATAAAAACATAAATGGTCTGCACTTACATAGCACCTTTTTCTACCTTAGCAGTACCCAAGGCACTTTACAATGCGTTTCTCATTCACCCATTCACACACACATTCACACACCAATGGTGCCATTGGGATTCAGTGTCTTGCCCAAGGACACTTCGGCATGTGGGGGGGACCGGGGATCAAACCGCCAACCTTGCCACCAGTGGACAACCCGCTCTACCACCTGAGCCACAGCCGCCCCGTAAGTTATCATAGCTTTGTATGATAATAGTTCTACAGTTACAGAATGCCTAAAACATTTTAGAAATGTGGGCACTGTAAAAATGTTACTTGCATTTATCAGAATCAGTTTGGTAGTAGGTTTGGAGGGATGTTACTTGTCCACTTTTCTCACCCAGATACTACCAGCTGTCTGTGCTGATTTGAACCAGTCACCTCTGGTCAGAAACTATGGCCTCAGGTGATATATGAGCCTCCA